ATCAGAGCTGCAGATTCTTTCAAGGAAGAACAAGACCTCTGTACACCTGAGGCTCCATGAATCTATGCCCTCGAGAGCAATAACAATAAGCAGTGGTCTGGGGATAACAACCGGATTCTTTATGGCTGGTTTCTAGTCAAAGTCGCATGGCTCCAGGGACGGCAAAGTCGTTCCACCACCTTGGCCCACACTGAGATACTTCATCTCTGCAACTATTTGATGGATTGCCTTGAAATTTTGTATAGACATTCATGGTCCCTTGCTGATGTTGGTAATGCCCTGATATTTTCTCTAGCACCATCAGCAGCTTGGCAGTTTTGGTTTTTAGTGAACTTTCCAAAACCCAGAAAACAGCCACTAATATGCAACACACATAAAAGTCCAGAAAAGGACAGAGGCACAGTGGCAGCTAACTGGAGCCAAGTTGGATGCAACTCATATGGAAGACAGTCACCCAGGGATAATCTATAATAACACTAAAATAATTGACCGGTGTGAACACATAGATCATACTGACCAAAGCAGTCCCCTGCATTAAAAAACACTGCACTGGGTTGTGTTTCAACACCCTCAGTCTGAGCAACTAGCTGCTGTTGGCTTGTCACCTCTGCCTGCTCCTGTTAACTGCTTTCAACTAACACCACAAACTTGAGGAAACTGTCACCATAATTGTCCTTTTTGGAGCAAATTTTATTATTCAATAGATTTCCTTGAAATGTTGTATACACACAGCTCCCAAAGGAAGAGTCATCCCCCGACTTCCATGTACAGTAGCACCAGTTGTTGGGCTGTCTTGGTTGACACGCCTCTCCGACATGGGGACGTCCTCCCATGGGCCCACCACCTGCAGGAGGATCCGTAAGGGGCCGGTGCACAGTGGATTGGGCAGCAGTCGAAGGCAGGGGCCCCAACGACCCGATCTCTGGACACGGAGACTAGCCCTGGGGACATGGAATGTCACCTCGCTGGTGGGGAAGGAGCCCGAGCTTGTGCAGGAGGTTGAGAGGTA